ACAGCGCCTGGGCCTTCATGCCAACATAAAGGCCTCGGAAATGCAGCCACCTCTGGGGTGGGACGCCCCTACCCGTGCCCGGGGCATCGGGGAACTCCGCAGCCAGTTGGGCCGTGACTCAGACTGGAACGCGGGGGAAGCAGGCTGGGAGGGGGAATAACCGAGTGGGGATGAGGACAGAGCGGGATGTTGTTACCCACCAGCTCTGTGTTCTTAGGGAGCCAGAGCATGGCCCCCTGTCCGCCCTGTGTTCTTGGGGAGCCAGGGAGTGACACTCAGGCAAAACCATCTTCCTCCCCCAGACCTCTGCTTGGATCACAGACAATGCAAGGAAAAGGCTGGGGGGAGACCCACCCCCAGACAAGGGGCATAGAATTAAGGAAACCCCCCAGCCTCATCTGCATGGGAGACAGAACAGAGAGACAGCTCATTAGCATACAGCAGGGGAACAGCTCTTCCAAAGCGGGAACCGCACTGAACTATGGGATACCGAGAGCAGAGAGGCACGGCCTGATGGGAAATCTCTGCTCCAGATGCTAATGAACCCAGGGGCCTGCTCACCCCCAAATGAGGCAGCATCAGACCAAGTCTAGCCCTGGAGCCTACTGACATCCAAACTACTGACACTGCCCAGCTGCACTGTGAGCGCCTTCAAGGAACATCCCCGTAGCCAGGGGCGAGCAGTCTCTAGTGTCGCCTCTGTGCGCCCAGCAACAAATCCAGTGTCTCTTGTCCTGGCCCTATAAAAACTCCTCCCCTTGCCCAAGAAAAACTGCTCTGAGACCTGGATTTAAACTGTATCATTTCCACTGAGACTTCTTCCGTCATTGCCTGTCTGATCGTGCTGGGGGCTCCGCTCTGCTCATCTCCCGCCCTCTGGACCCCCGGCTCCCATCACCATCTGGGAACCCCACTCAGCGCGAGCGCCACAGAGGTGAGGTCTCTCTCCCCCGCCCCCCAACTACCTCTCTCTAAGCATAGCCTCCTGACTCTGTGTGACGTAGTGGGGGTACTTGCTGGGCTGTGGTGACCCCTGCTGTCTGGAGCAAGACCCAGCAGGGAAAACCTCACTATGCAAAGGTAGTGCCAAACTTGTTGAACCAGTGGCCAGACACCCCCCATGGAGAGGAACAAAGGAAGGTGGAATGCTGCCCTGACTGGGGGGCAGGGCTGGAAGGGAATTTAGTTAGTTCTGTCTGAGAGCATGGAGGAGAGCCTAGGGGAAGGGGCTGGAGTTTAGGGGCCCAGTCTCCCCCATCTCAAGGGGGCCTGAGGCATCCTAGCCCAGCTCTGTGACCAGATTCCATCTGTGCTGTGCTGTATCCTGGAGAGGCAATAAACTTCCTCTATTCCACCGGCTGGTGCAGTCTGTTTGTGCCATTTCAGGGTGCAGGAGACGGGGGACCCCCAACGCGCCGTCACACATGGCGAATGGGAAATAGCAGAACTATTAACTGTGGTTTCTAACCTATCCTTTAAATCCGCTTCTGTACCCTGGCTAGAAGATAGCCAACGTGACGCTAGACAGCAACGTGCTCCCAGACAGCAACTAACCAACTCTCTTCCAGCCCTGCCCCCCAGCCAGGGCAGCATCCACCTTCCTTTGTTCCTCTCCATGGGGGGTGTCTGGCCACTGGTT